AGAAGTGTTGATAAATAAATAAATAAAATAAATAAAACTAACTTAATGAACAAATTTTAATCTCCTATTTTCGTCTTGAAGGACCCTGCAATCTGCATGTCAACTATTGAACAAGACAAAAAGGACCAACAATAATAACGGTAAATTTTGAAACATTAGGTAGGTATCTATTAACTAGTATCCAATATCTACAATCTACACAATCGAACTAATATCTACAATCCAAGATATAAACAAAACTGCGAATTACAACACTGGTTTGTTTAGCCTTCATCAACAACACTTCAGAATAAACCTTAGATTTGGAAGGTCGTATTAATTCATTAGTTAACTGACTACTCGAACTTTTTTTTACCAAGGACAATGATCATCCACACAAAGGTTGCCATTCTGCATAAAAATACAAGAAGAACATATTTCTTTCTGTGTTTGGATTAGATATTAAAGCTGTTCAAATGAAGAAATTACGCTCCAAGGTCTAATTACAACATAAAATAGACTCCTAGTAAAGTCGTAACCTCATTGGTCCTAATTTGTCTCAATCTAATAGTCCGAATTACTCTTCACAATCAGTTGCTAGGACTATTAACTATTATTGGAGATCCGCCCAACGTCTGTACTCCAATTTTTTACCCGCATCATAACTTACTTTCCTTATATCATCTTACAAACAATCCTGCCATCTTTTCTCCGATCTTCCCCTTCCAAATACGTCATTTGGGTCACCAAATAACACGGTTCCTTATTATTTACGATACTGAAATAGATTTAAATTGTACCGAATGACCCGCGCTATCAAGACGAACTGTGACGATTGAATGTGGAGATTAGTCGTAAGTCGCAAGAGTCGCGACTATCTTTATTGGTATCGTGTTAATTGCAAGTTATAGGTCACTGACGACTCGCCCCGAGTTTGTCCCACTTTCTAGTGGCCTTCGTTTTGGTAAAAGATGTTTTGATGATAGGATATGTAACATAAATGCATAATTTTCTTTTATTTTCACCAGACATCGTTCCTCCATGACATTATTGGTTTTTTGGCAAATACCTGGCGTAGTTCCAGACTTTAAGAATGTTCAAATCTAAAAACCCAATGACACTGACTGATACAAAGATGAGACTGAGGGAACTCATCAGAAATAAAGTCCGTGGGAAAACTTAGATTTAGATACCTACGCATAAAAATCATAAAATTCTTGGACGATTTTACGTCGAATGAGGTTTGGTCCAAAGTTTCAGGGCAATAATTAAACTTGGATGAGAAAAAATATTGCCTTACGTTCTACACCCAGTTCTCCTACCATCCGCATTCTAAGGTCAGGTAAGGTTAATCCAAATAACTGAGGGACCATTACAATGAGACCCATTGACGGTAAAACATTAAGAACACCGTGTTTACCTCCCAAAGGTCAACAACAAACTGGTTCTAATTACGTAAGTAAATATTTCGAGCCAATACCTGATAGAACAAACACGAAATGTCTTAAACGCCAACTTGAATACCAATGCAATAACATCAGTAATCATTACGTGCTATGGTACATATTTGGTTATGTTTTTGCGAAGAATATGAGACTATTAATGATGAGATGTTTATTTGTAAACAAAACTGAGAGCTCGTTATATCGTACTAAGCTATGAATAATGGATTTTCCAGAACAATTTATTTTAAATGCTTGTGTACTTTTTTTTTGGGGGTCGAAAATCATACCGTGGCTTCTCCCGCCTTGGGTTAGGCGAGAGGGAGTGTCAGGCTCTTACTGACTAAAAACCACCCCGTTCCTACTCATGCAACTCGAGCCTCGGTAGCCCGTTAGGCCTTCCGCGGCTCCGGATTGGGCAACACCCCTACTGGGCCCCGCCGATGTTGTGATGGTATATAAATGTACCCAATGGTTGATCAATTAGTAAAGACTAAACCCAGGAGATCTAGATATGAGTTATACAATCATATGAGATTTGTGAATGGCGAGTAGTGACGACAACGGTAAAATCGCTCGCAGTTTTTGGATGCAAACAGCTGAAGATCAAGCTCAGAGCTTTAATACTGGAGAATGCTGTCTTGCAGTAGACGCTGTTGATGATGAGATATTACTGATAATTATCGAGTCACTTAAATACCTACAAGTACCAATGGCTTTATTCAATTTCTAGATACAATAATTAGTTATTTTATAAACTACGTTTAAAAAATCCGACTTAAGCCCACTCTTTTTTTAACTCCTTTAATTGATATACTACTTGCTAAAACCTTCTCCTATGTATAAAAACACTTTTCTGTAAATCGCATCAAAATCGGTTTAACCAATAGCGAGATAATCGCGCAAAAACAAAAATACATACATACATACATACAAGTCAATTTGAGAACTTTATTTTTTTGAAGTCGGTTAAAAAACAAAGGGTTAGTAATGTAGCATGGGCACCAAATAGGGGTCATTTTGGAATATCTTAGTACGGGGGCTGACACAGCAGTTGTGTGATGTTTTGGTATCATGTAGAATAAGGCAGTCATTAACTAACTCACTATAACAGTGAAAATGTAAACATAGTAAACAAACAATGTTCTAATGGTAATGGGGTCACCCCCTATTACATAGGACACATAACATAAACAGTGAAAAGTGGGTGTTACATTGTAGTGGCATAAGGTGCACTCTGCCTTATTCGTGGATAAAAGGTGTGATGTTATGTTATGTGTTACATCGTTATATTGACGCCCAATTACTGAAAGCCTACTCAATTGTAAGTTGTACTTAGATATCGTGCCATCTCTGTCATTTTACAAAAATAATGACAGAATTGGGATGATGACAGTGTATGAAAATTAAAAATCTAATTAGTTCGTGAGTGAAATAAAATATTAGACAGGTATTTTTTTTTACTTTGTCGTGTAATAAAATAATACTTAGATAAAACGAATCAAAGTTTAGGAGTGGGGGCTAAAACGTCATTTCTACGTATAAAATGTACATAGAAGTGACGTCACGCGACATATCAATTCAATATATCGTCGAAAGTATTAGTTTCTGCAAGAAAATAAAGAATACGCGTCTAATGATTTAAAATAATCTACCAGGACATTAAAATAAAAATTAGGCACCTACCCTATTATACTTTAAGCGCAACTTAAAATTTAGTGGCGTTTGAGTATTTGGATATGAGTCTCGTTCTTGTCTTATTTTTCTGACATAAACCTGCTTCAAATACTATCAAAAAGATATCATTGACACAGGAAACTATACTATTTACTATAATAATTTACTAGTAATAATAAGAGCATCAAGTGCTTTACTATAATTTATAGTAAATAATTAATATGTTTTATATGAAGCATGTTATACAAAGACACATAATATTATATCATTTCGTTTTCCTTTATTATTTCCTTGTTTATTGATTTCCAACCAATTCCTATGGTTATAATTAACTTTATAAACTGCGAATCAAACTTACAATATTTACAACATAAGTGAGTAGTTTCATTTGAACTGTTCAATCCCTAAGCGGTCACCGGTGCCCACTCTCCACTAACTATATTATGGACCTTATTTCCCATGTTTAGAGAGTACTTTTCTATGAACAATGGATTTTTCATAATCAGACATTTACGAGAATCATGAACATAGAATTTGATCATAACGACGTAACAAACTTTGAATTATTTCCATCTATTGAATCACACAAGATCTGAATATGTTAGCACTCATACAAAAACCGCTTTTTACTTTGTTTAACCCAGAATCAGACCCAAGACCACATGACTAACTATCACATTCACAACCTATCGCTCAAGAAGGCAGTCTATACAAATACATAGACATATTACCAATGTATAGCATGTACAACATTTTGTATTCAATAGCAATGTTATATGACTAATCATCGCCATATTTCTACTCCTTAGTTTATAACAATTAGACTCATATTGCTTATAAAATGGTAAAAGCCAGTTTTCTCATGGAGAAGTAGTTAGCTTACTTTTAAACTGTCAAACACCAAGCGGTCACCGGTGACCGCAACCTATTGTTCTATAATTGTGTCTATAATGACGGTACTTAACGAGTTAAGCGGAACAACTTGATGAAAATAATAAAAAGTGTATATAGTATGCAGCCTCTTTTTTATCTTCTGGACACCAAATCCTACCACAACATCGTTCTATGGCAATGTCAAAGAAGGAGAAATAAACATACAATTTGCATTTATACTATTAGTTTCATATAATCATGGGTCCGGTGGTAAATGATACCCATAGCATAAGTACACTTGCAACACCAGAGACCACACAATTGTTATCAGTTATAAGTGTATCAGAATGTTATATATTAATGGTTCCGAGTTTAAACCAACAAAGTTTAGAAATTAAGACATCATGTATTATTCTACTCAGAATATTAATCCACAAATATACAAATAAAACATTAAATAATTAAGAAAGCATTACAAAATGAGGTAACTAATTATCACCGATGATTACAAAGATAACTAAGGCAATGTTTATTTACAATTTTATTTTTTTACAACTTTCAACTACTCATTCCAATGTCAAATGAGATAGTTTATCTCTGTGACATAAGGAAATATGATAAACTTCATAAATAAAAGAATTTCAACATTAAATTATCTGTGGCAGACTGGTCCTATAATGCAATAGTCACATTTGTTCAAAAAAGGAACAGATAAATACATAACAGTAGCGTCCTGAGTTCATCAAAGTATTCCATATAAGTTAGCAATAAACTTATTTAATTACAACTTTGGGAGTGGCCAATGACAACAGATTCAACTAATATGACATTTATGCAACCTAATTCAAGTGTGTAATGAAGAGTTTCTAACAGGATAACTGTTGAAAAAGGCAGAGGCACTACATGGCACGTCTGATACAATGTTTATATTTATCTCCGCTCTGCGGGAGGTAAACTACAAGACTACTATTCGACACCAATACAACAATTTTTTGTTCAAATAAAAAGGAGTTAGTTTATAGTACTTACCAACAGCGTATACTTCTCCATCTTCCAGTTTACGCCAAACAGTCATTTTGATAAACACACAATTTAATTTTATATTATTTTTTTACTGAACACAAATCCTGTGGCTCGTCATTTTTACCAAACCAATATTTGACAAATCAAATTATGACACAGCCGCGTACAGTGTTGCCATTGTATAAACTATTTTTATGTTGGTAGTTTTGTCTTTGTTGTTTGTGTTATATTTATAAATCTATGTTGTTTGTGAACAAGGCTGTTAATGAGATAACGGAACGTTTTTGAATTTAATATTTTTATTTAAGGTACTTATTTGAATTACAAAAAAACAGTATTAGACTTATTGTAAAACTGAGAAAATAATTCACTCTTTGTTGGTAATAATTTTGTATAGTGATTATTTTGTAACTGTTTATAATATTTTAAATTCATGGAACCTTATCCGTTTTCATTGTTTTAAAATATTATTTAATTATTGATATTGGTACAAAATATAGTTGACTGCTCAATCAGTAGAAATTAGTTATCTTGCCAAATATGTTTTTCTTAAAAGACAGACAAGTTAATCTACGTTTCGACGAAAAACCGTACGGATTTATAATATAGCTTGGTACATACCTAGTATTTTTAACACAGATTGGGTTGTTTCCAAGGGGTAATCTAGTAATTATCTACGTCTAGGTTAGCTAGACTGTGATTATAGAGGTTATTCCTAGTCAGCTTTTCGTTATTTACAGGATATATTACCTATATATTATTATATTGTATGTGTCTCAAAATCTTAGAATAGCTATGGCAAGCGATCGAATAAAGAAACAGCTTTGTCGAAGATCGCTGCTGCTCAGTCTCCGTTTTATTCATAGGATGGTGGCCAATGTTCAATTAAAACAGACTGTCGTTTTTACATCCAAGTCGGTATTAGTTTTTAACCGACTTCAAAAATGAGATTCTCAGTTTGACCTGTATGTGCGTATGTTGGCGCGCGATTATCTATTGGTTGAACCGATTTTGAATGGGTTTTCAGAAGAATTGTTTGTTACAGGTAGGTAAGTATAGATAATATTTTAGTATATTACTCAACCGACTTCAAAAAGAGGGGCTTAAGTTGATTTTTTTAATATAGTTAATAAAAGAATTGCGATAATAAAAAGGTATGAAAATTAAAAATCTAATTAGTCCGTAAGGTTATGAAAAAATATTAGACACGTATTTTTTTATTTTGTCGTTAGTATAATAATAAAACAATACTTACTTAGAACGAATCAAAGTTTAGGAGTGAGGGCTAAAACGTCATTTCTACGTATAAAATGCACATATAAGTGATGTTACGCGACATTTCAAATCAATATATATCGTCGTAAGTATTCGTTTCTGTAAGAAAATAAAAAATACGTGTCTAATGATTTAAAATAATCTACCAGACGGAGATTAAAATAAAAATTAGGCATCTATCCTATTATAATCGGTTATAATAACTCAGCATCCAAAGGAAAGCAACAGCAAAGGATAGATAATATGTCATTATCATTGAACAAACAGTGACTTCGATAAAAACTCTCCCATCCATCTGCCTGAGCAGGATATGATACCATAGACAATTTAAACCAACAACCCGTCCATCTATAGACGAAACTTATCGCTGGAGATTAAAACGGTTATCTATGGTGATAAACATTTTTTTTTATTATTGATAAAGTAAACCCGGTAAGTACGTAGGTACCTATAATAGCTTCTGTTGATATAAAAGAATACATATCTACAGATTTCAACATTTTTAAAACATAATGTGTATCTACCTATAGGTACTTCTCAAGCATTATCTAGGAAATAACCATACCGTACCCATTCAAGTTACATACAAATAATAATTTAGACACTACCACAATTTTTTTTATTCAGTAGGTACCATCAAGGGTACTCGGGCCGATATAAGTTCGCGCGACAACCGGCTGCCCTGCAACGTGTAACGGGTTCGATTCCCGCACGGAGCATATCTTTGTGTAATCCACAAATTGTTGTTTTGGGTCTGGGTGTCATGTGTATATCAACTTGTATGTTTGTAAATGCATCCATGATACAGGAGAAAATCCTAGTATAGTGTAACGTTAAAAAAAAGAAATATCAAAAGTGCCTTATTGTCGGCCCTAGCGAAGACTAAGACAGCCCTGACCATAGCCTACAATTGTATGGCAAAGGTACTCCTTATTTGCTCTCTCTACTGAGATGATGCGTCTATGATAAGGGGGTAGGCTGATAACAAAATCTAATGTTGCAATTCAATATGTATTATTAAAGGCCTAAAGGTAAGTAGGTTATTGTCGCGGAGAACCCAACGGGTTACCGGGGCTCAGGCTCGACGTGCAGGAGAAGGAACGGGGTGGTTTTTAGTCAATAAGAGTCTGACACTCCCCCCCGCCTCACCTAGGCGGGAGCAGTCATTCGATGATTTTCCCCCCTTAAAAAAAAGGTAGGTTATTAACCTCATAAGCTCCATTAATTGATTTTTTGCTCACATGATGAGCACATGTTGAACAAATACTGACACTAAAATTGTTTATGTTTATAAACGAATTAGGTCTATTTTTAGATACTGGGCTGCGCATTTTTATTTTATTCAATCGTTCATTGAACGATGTCGACAGATTTTCGTTAAATTTTATTATTTCGTAGAACCTCTATAACGCATTAAAGGTGGTATTGTACAAAATCTTGCATATTTTAAAGTAATTAGAACGATAAATACAAAAACCTAATTCCCGATTCAATTCATTCTACTCAGCCGTCTCACAAATCCAGACGGCCATGTTTGGAAGCATCCACCAAAAAGGAAACAATTTCATACCCAAAATGGAAATAACACAATTTTCCATGTCGTCTACATTTATTTTCGTGGGGCACATAAATAAAAATGTCACAAGGTACATCTCTGTCACTCAGGATTGTAACTCGACAGGTTTCCAAGCACAAAAATAGAGGCACATTTTTTTACCCCTGCTGACTTGCTTTTGACCCTCGACCTGTGCTCTGTTGGGTATGAAAGAATATAGTACAACAAGTAATTAAAAGCAAAATTATAAAATTAAATAAAAGTTAGCCTTTGGAGTTTGGAGTTGTTGACGGTACTGGCTGCCGCGCAACATGTATTGTAGCGGGTTCGATTCCCGCACGGATTCCGAGTCTGGGCGTCATGTCTATGTGAACTTGTTTGTTTGATAGTTTGTAAACGCCACACGACAGTGTAGGGCACCGATTTCTCAGAAAAGAAAAAAAACGAAGATGTTATATAGTGCAAAAATGCTTAAAATGAATTTGTTGGACCCACATTTTATAGGATTTAGGCTCCTGTGCCGTGGGTGGATTTGCGAATAGGAGGACCTACAAATTCCTTTATATACTTCTATCCAAGACCAGGAAAAACAGCGACTATATTGCGCAGCGAAAGCGGATGTGCAACCAACCAATTAATTATTTAATTTCACATGTTTATAATGTAGGTACGATTTGTCAAAATCAAGTGGACAAATCTTTGTTACGATCATCATTTCAGTTTATACCTAGTGAAGTACTAAATAAAATCACTAGGTACGCGTGTGGAAGTTCGTAGCCTGACCAGAACCCGACCCGAGCGTACGGCGCGTCGCGTTCCGCGCGCGCCTCAAGGAACCCCACCACGGATGATGCCGATAGGAAGCCGCGAAGGACTTAACGGGTTACCGGGGCTCCGGCTCAAAGGGCAGAAGACGTAACGGGGTGGTTTTAAATCAGTAAGAGTCTGACACTCCCTCCTGCAGTCCTGCCTCACCCAGGCGCGAGAAGTCATTCGATGACTTTCCCCCCTTAAAAAAGGTAGGTATGTACATGTGGAAAGACAAAAATTGTGAGAATTTTTTTTATGCCATGTTATCCAAATGTTGAGTTCTGAACACTGTCAATAATAAACTTTCCAATATCACACCACTGATCCAGTTTCCACAGAAGTTACTTCTAATAAAACTTCTGCAGGCAACTCGCACAATGAACACACGTTGCTAACAGTATTTGTGCAGGCGCTGCGATGTAGATTCGCTAGTATATTTTACAAGTCGGTCGAATTGCATAATACCTTTACTCATATAGACTAGGATTACTCGTTGAACAACTAATTGGTTGAGTTTGTGACAATGTAGGTTATTTCTAAACTTAGGTAGATACCTTCTGTGCGTTAGAATATGAATTAGATGATTTGTTTTGTAGGAAGATGAGGTTCATCATTACTCATCATCTTCGTCGTTACCTCTATCAATTTATTGAAGTTGAAGGAGTCTGGATCCATATGAACAAAACAACGAAGCAGACACCATAATAGGGTAGTTGACTAATTTTTATTTTAATCTCCGTCTGGTAGATTATTTTAAAACATTACACACGTATTTTTTATTTTTTTACAGAAACGAATTCTTTCGAAGATATATTGATTTGAAATGTCGTGTGATGTCACGTCTATGGACATTTTATACGTAGAAATGACGTTTTAGCCCTAAGACGAACCTAACGGGTAACCGGGGCTCGACGTGCAGGAGAAGGAACGGGGTGGTTTTTAGTCAGTAAGAGTCTGACACTCCCTCCCGCCTCACCCAGGCGGGAGCCGTCAATCGATGATTTTCCCCCCTTAAAAAAAAAGCCCTAAGACATCATGTCATCATCCCAATTGCGAATGTCACGTAATGCACTACAGTAGGATAAGGATAGTCCATTGCCACTCAATGAATGCATTGCACACCGCAGCGTAATTATTTCTCATTTTATTGAAATTTTGTCAGTGTAGATATCTGAGAACTGTAGGAAGTACTTGAGTATCTATCCACCTAAGCACTTATGTAGGTGCCTTCTACGAGCATTATCAGATAAAAGATCTGAAGATAAATGATGTATTGGACTTATACACTTATTCTAGTAATGTATTAGATAGGTATTCGTTTTAGCAAGCTTTTAACCGACTTTTAAGTCAAGTTATGATCTGTATTTATGTATGTATGTCAGTGTGTATCTATGTGTTGTGGGCAATTATATCGCGATTGGCGGCACCGGTTTTGTTGCGGTTTTAAAAAAGTCTCTTAGGACAAGGTTCGAGTACCTATATCTATTAATTAAC